AAAATGCAAGTCTGTGATCAGGCAGGCAAAAAGGGAATATGAGGAGCATATAGCAAAAAACATAAAGACCAACAATAAAACTTTCTTCATATACATTAGAAGCAGGGAACCAGCCAGGGAGGCAGTGGGGCCCTTGGATGACCAAGGGGCAAAAGGAGTACTGAAGGATGATAGGGAAATGGCTGAGAAGCTGAATACATTTTTTGCCTCTGTCTTCACTGTGGAAGATGAGAAGTGCTTGCCCACTCCAGAACCGCTGATTTCGGGAAGGGTGTTGAAAGACCTGAGTCAGATCTAGGTGACGAGAGAGGAGGTCCTACAACTGATAGACAACTTAAAAACTAATAAATCACCGGGCCCGGATGGCATACATCTGAGAGTTCTGAAAGAACTCAGATGTGAACTTGTGGATCTCCTGACAAAAATATGTAATCTTTCCTTAAAATCTGCCTCCATTCCTGAGGACTGGAAGGTAGCTAATGTCACTCCCATCTTTAAAAAGGGTTCCAGAGGAGATCCGGGAAATTACAGGCCAGTCAGTCTGATGTCGATACCGGGTAAGTTGGTGGAAACTGTTATTAAGGAAAGAATTAGTAGGCACACTGATGAACAAAACCTATTGAGGCAGACTCAGCATGGGTTCTGTAAGGGAAGATCTTGTCTCACTAACCTGTTAGTGTTCTTTGAGGGGGTGAACAAACATGTGGACAAGGGGGACCCAATAGAAGTTGTTTACCTTGACTTCCAGAAAGCTTTTGATAAAGTTCCTCATCAAAGGCTCCTAAGTAAGCTCAATAGTCACGGGATAAAATGACAGGTCCTTTTGTGGATCAAAAACTGGAGTACCTACTAAGCAAACAGTTTTTTTTCTGAGACTCTGGAGAGCTGCTGCCAGTCAGAGCAGGCAATGCTGACCTTGGTAGAGCAATGATCTGACTTGGTGCAAGGCAGTTGCTTTTTGAAGGCCCTTGGCTTGGCAGAAGAGTCCCCATCATCTCCACTTAAAAAAGGATCAGGTAGTGGGTGATATGAAAGACCTCGACATAAGACTCTGGAGAGCCATTGCCTGTCTGAGTAGAAAGTGCTGACTTTGGTGGACCAAGGGGGTCTGATGGACTGAAGGTCTGATTCAGTATATGGCAGCTTCATGCATTCATTTTGAGTTTCCAGTTTAACAGCACTCCATTTGAGCAACCAGAACTTGGTTGTACATCTGTGAGCTTGGGGTGGGGAGGAGAGCCGTTATTTTACCAGTTTTATTGTACCAGGCATTTTATTTACCAGTTGCTTGTGGGATGAAATGCAAGCTGCTGAGACTGCCAAGCAGATGCGATTGTAGCTGCCCCAGGACCGTAAAGCTGTCTGCCAGATGGAAGAAGATTGGGCAGGAGGATCAGTCTGCCGCCAGGGGGCACTCTCCTTTTGTATGTCACTTTACACTCACACTGTAGCATCACGCTTCCATTAAAGGATTTCCTTAACGCTCTCTCTGGAACAAAATGCAAGCCAGCTCTGCTGCACACGAGGTTTGTGGGCAGGCCAGAGAAAGGCCTGGGAATTGAGGGAAGGGGCCTCAGCTCAGTAGTGGAACTTGCATGCCAGAAAGTCCCAGGTTCAATCCACAGCATCTCCAGGTGAACATGTGTCCAAAGAGGCCTTTCTCTGCCTTTGCCTGGACAGCTGCTGCACATCAGGCAGACAATACTGGATTTGATAGATCAGAATTGTCTGTGGTAGATAGTAGTGACTACACTTCTGCTGTAAATGTGCTTCGCTGAAATGCTGGCCATCTGTGAACCCCTTTTGTATGTACAATCATGAACACATGAAGCTGCCTTATACTGAATCGGACCATTCATTCATCAAAGTCAGTATTGTGTGTGCAGGCTGGCAGTGGCTCTCCAAGCTCTCGGGCTGAGGTTTTCCACATCATCTCTTATCCAATCCTTAACTGGAGATGCCG